TCATCATCAGCAGCATCATCATCAGCAACATCATCATCATCATCAGCAACAACATCATCATCAGCAGCATCATCAGCATCAGCATCATCACCATCATCATCATCATCATCAGCATCATCATCATCATCATCATCATCATCATCATCATCACCATCATTATCATCATCATCAGCATCATCATCATAATCATCAGAAGCATCATCATTATCATCTTCATAATCATCATCACCACCACCACCACCAACATCATCATCATCATCATCAGCATCATCATCATATGTCTCCCCCCCCCTCATCATCATCAGCATCAGCAGCAGCATCATCATCAGCATCAACATCAGCATCATGATCATTATCATCATCATCAGCAACATCAGTATCAGTATCATCAGCGTCATCATCATCGTCAGCATCATCATCAGCATCATCAGCATCATCATAATCATCATAATCATCATCAGCACCACCATCATCACCAGCATCGTTATCATAATCAGCATCAGCAGCACCAGTATCATCAGCATCAGCATCAGCATCAGCAGCATCATGATCAGCATCAGCATCAGCAGCATCATCAGCATGATCAGCATCAGCGACATCAGCATCAGCATCATCATCAGCAGCAGCATCAGCATCAACATCGTCATGATCAGCATCATCAGCATCATCAACAGCAACATCATCAGCATCGACAGCATCATCCTCATCAGCATCATTATCATCAGAATCATCATCATCATCAGCATCATCATATGCAGAAGCATCAGCATCATCATAATCATCAACAACATCATCATCATTAACAACATCAGCATACTGATCATCATCATCATCAGCATCATCATCGTCATCATCATTATCAGCATCAGCATCAGCCTCATCCCTCATCCCGCATCCCTCACCCTTCCTGACTCTTCCCTCCTCCCGCCTCCCTCCTCCCTCCTCCCGCGTCCCGCCTCCCTCCTCTCTCCTCCCCCCCTCCCTCCTCCCTCCTCACTCCTCCCTCACCCCTCCTCCCTCCTCCTCCTCCATCCCCCCTGCTCCCTCATTCCTCCTCCCTCCTCCCTCCTTCCTTCCTCCCTCCGCCCTCCCTCCTCCCTCCTCCCTCCGCCGTCCTTCCTCCTCCTCCCTCCTGCTCTTCCTCCTCCTCCTCCTCCCTCCTCCCTCCTCCGTCCTCCTTCCTCCTCCCTCCTCCTCTTCCTCCTCCTCCTCCTCTCCTCATCGCATCCTCTTCCTCCTCGTCCTCCTCCTCCTCCTCCTCCTCCTCCTCCGCCTCCTCATCATATCATCATCAATCATCATCACAACATCATCATCAGCATCAGCATCATCCTCCCATCAGCATCAACAGCTCGCATCATCATCATCATCATCATCTCATCATCCATCATCATCATCATCATCATCATCAGCATCATCATCATCATCATCATCATCATCATCATCATCATCATCATCATCATCATCATCAACATCAACATCATGAGCATCATCAGCATCAGCAGCATCACCATCAGCATCGGCATCATCATCATCGTATTCCTTCTCCTCCTCAGCATCCGCCTCCTCCTACTCCTCTTCATGGTCATCATCAGCATCAGCATCAGCATCATCATCAGTATCAGCATCATCAGCATCATCATCAGCATCATCAGCATCAGCATCGCAATCGTCATCATCAGCATCATCATAATCATCAGCATCAGCATCAGCATCAGCATCATCATCATCATCATGATCACCATCATCATCATCCGCCTCATCCTCCTTCTCCTCCTCCTCCTCCGACGCCTCCTCCTCCTCCGCCTCCCTCCTCCCTCCTCCTCCCTCCTCCTCACTCTCCATCCTCCTCATCCTTCTCCTCCTCCTCCTCCTCCTCCTCCTCCTCCTCCGCCTCCTCCTCCTCATCTTCCTCCTCATCCTTCCTCATACCTCTCCTCCTCTTCCCCTCCGCCTCCGCCGCCTCCTCCTCGTCCTCTTCTTCCTCCTCCTCCTCCCCCTCTCCTCCTCCTCTCCTCCTCCTCCGCCCCCTCATCCTCCTCCTCCTCCTCCTCATCTCCCTCCTCCTTCGCTCCTCCCTCCTCCTCCTCATCCTTCCTCCTCCTCCTCTTTCCTCCTCTTCTCCTCCCCTCTCCTCCTCCTCCTCTCCTCCTCCTCCTGGCCTCTCCTCCTCCTCCCTCCTCCTCCTCTCCTCCTCCTCCTCCTCCTCCTCCTCCTCCGCCTCCTCCTCCTCCTCCTCCTCCTCCTCTCCTCCCCTCCTCCTTCCTCCTCCTCCTCCTGCCTCTCCTCCCCTCCTCACTCCTCCTCCTCCTCCTCTCCTCTCCTGCTCCTCCCTCCTTCCTCCTCCTCCTCCTCCTCCTCCTCCTCTCCTCCTCCTCCTCATCCTCCTCCTCTCCTCCTCCTCCCCTCCTCTCCTCTTCCCCCCCTCCTATTCCCTCCGCCTCCTCCTAGTCTCCTGCTCCTCATCCTCCTCCCTCCATCCTCATCATCTTCATCATATTCCTCCTCCTCCTCCTCCTCCTCATCCTCCTCATCATCATCATCATCATCATCATCATCATCATCATCATCATCATCATCATCATCATCATCATCATCATCATCATCATCATCATCATCATCATCATCATCATCATCATCATCATCATCATCATCATCATCATCATCATCATCATCATCATCAGCAGCATCATCAGCATCATCATCATCATCATCATCATCAGCATCGTCATCAGTATCATCATCATCAGCATCATCAGCATCATCATCATCATCAGCATCATCATCATCAGCAGCATCATCATCATCATCATCATCAGCAGCATCAGTATCATCATCATCATCATCATCATCGTCATCATCATCATCATCCTCATCCTCATCCTCATTCTCATCATCATCATCATCATCATCATCAGCAACATCATCAGCATCATCACCATCATCATCATCATCAGCAGCAACATCATCATCATCAACCGAGGCATCGTCATCATCATCATCATCATCAGCATCATCAGCATCATCGTCATCAGCTTCATCATCATACTAATCAGCATTATCGTCAGCATCAGCATCATGGTCATCAGCAACAACAGTGGCATCCTCAGCATCATCGTCATCATCATCGTCAGCATCATCATTATCAGCATCATCACCATCTTCATCGTCATCAGCAACATCACCAGCAGCAGCAACAGCATGATCAGTATCGTCAGCAGCAGTAACGTCATCAGCATAATCATCATCATCGGCAGCCGCAACAGCCTCATCAGCATCAGCATCATCATCAGCATCATCAGAATCGTCGTCATCATCATCACCATCATCAGAATCATCATCCGCGACATCAGCATCATCAGCACCGACACCATCAGCATCAGTAGCACCCGCATCGTCATCATCATCATCATCAGCATCATGTTCCTCATCATCATCATCATCATCATCATCATCATCATCATCATCATCATCAGCATCGTCATCAGCAGCACCATCAGCATCATCATCGGAAACAGTATCATCATCATCATCATCATCAGCAGCATCAGCATCATCAGCATCATCATCAGCAGCACCGCCATCAGCATCAGCATCATCGGCATCGTCGGCATCGTCATCAGTGTCAGCAGCATCAGCATCATCAGAATCGTCAACCGCATCATCATCAGCAGCAGCATCATCAGCATCACCATCACCACCATCACCACCATCAGTCAGCACCACCATCATCATCCTAGTCATCCTCAACATCATCATCAGCAGCAGCATCATCATCAGCATCATCATGATCCGCGACATCAGCACCATCATCATAACCGTCATCAGCATCAGCAGCATCAGCATCATCAGCATCAGCATCACCATCATCATCAGCAGCAGCATCAGCATCATCATGATCAGCAACGTCATCATCGACAATATCAGCATCATCATAATCAGCACCGTCATCATCATCAGCAGCATCAACATCATCATCCTCATCCTCGTATTACTCGTCCTCGTCGTCGCTCATCTTCCTGGTGTTATCTTCATCGTCCTCCTGATCTTCCTGGCCATCATCCTCCTCTTCCTCCTCCTCCTCCGCCTCGTCCTCCGCCTCCTCCTCCGCCTCCTCCTCCATTTATTCCTCATCCTCGTCCTCCTCCTCCTCATCATCATCAGCATCATCATCCTCCTCCTCCTCTTCCTCCTCATCCTCATCACCCTCCTCATCAGCCTCGTTCTCCTCCTCCTCACCATCATCCTCCTCCTCCTCCTCATCGTCCTCCTCCTCCTTCTCCTCCTCCTCCTCCTCCTCCGCCACTCATCCTCCTCCTCCTCCTTCCTCCTCCTCCTCCTCCTCCTCCTCCTCCTTCATCCTCCTCATCCTCCTCCGCCTCCTCCTCCGCATCCTCATCCTTCTCCTCATCCGATTCCTCCTCCCCATCCTCCTCTCCTCCTCCCCTCCTCCTCCTCATCGTCCTCCTCCTCCTCCCCTCCTCCTCCTCATCCTCCATCCTCCTCCTTCGCCTCCTCCTCCTCTTCCTCATCATCCTCCGCCTCCTCCTCCACCTCATCCTCTTCCTCCCCTTCCTCCCCATCCTCCTCTCCTCCTCATCCTCCTCATCTTCCTCCTCTTCATCCCATCCTCCTCCTCCTCCTCCGCCTCCTCCTCCCCTTAATTCATCCTCCTCCTCCTCATTCTCCTCCTCCTCCCCCTCCTCCTCCTCATTCCTCATCCTCCTCCTCCTCCTCCTCCTCCTCATCATCCTGCTCGTCGTCATCCTCCTCCTACTCTTCCCCATCCTCCTCATCATCCGCATCATCCTCCCCTTTCCGCTCGCATTTGAATTGTTAGAACTATCAGTAATACTATTCGTAGCGTTGTTACTACTCATATCATTAGCCGGATTCTTATTAGCTGTAGCAGCATGATCAGTAATAAGAGTACCAATAGTAGTAGTACTAGTACTAATAACATCACAGAAGCTGGTAGCAATAGTCGTAGCATTAGTCGTCGTCTTAGTATTAGTATTCGGCGTCGCCTTCTGCGTAGTGTTCTTAGTATTAGTATTATTCATCCTCGCCGTCCTCCTCCTCATCCTCATCCTCCTCCTCATCCTCCTCCTCCTCTTCCTCCGCCTTCTCCTCTTCCTCATCCTCAGCTTCCTCCTCTTCCCCCTGATCCTCCTCCTCCGCCTCCTCCTCCTCCGCCTCCTCTTCCTCCCCCTCCATCTTCCTCCTCCCCTCCTCCTCCTCCTCCTCCTCCTCCTCCTCCCCTCCTCCTCCTCCCCTCCCCGTCCTCCTCCTCATCCTCCTCCTCCGCCTCCTCCTTATCCTCCTCCTTATCCTCCTCCTACTCCTCCTCCTCCTGCTCCTCCCCCCCTTCTTTTCCTCCTCCTCATCGTCATCCTCCTCCTCCTCTCCTCCTCCTCCTCCTCCTCATCCTCCTCACTCCCCTCCCCACACACACACAATCCCCCGCCTCCTCCTCGTCCTCATCTCCCCTCATCCTCCTTCTCGTCCTCCTCCTCCTCCTCCTCCTCCTCCTCATCCTCCTCCTCCTCCCCCTCCTCCTGGTCCCCCTGCTCCTCCTCCTCGTCCTCCGCCCCCTGCTCCTCCTCATCCTCCTCCTCCTCCTGTTCATATTCCGCCTCGTCGTATGAGTATTCGTCGTAGTCTCCGTAACATTCGAATTAGCATTGGTACTAGTAGTACCGTTCTTATGTTGCAATACTAGTATGAGTATTGTTTCATAGCAGTATTGGTATTACCCGTATGAGTGTGAACTTTTTAATACCAACAATACTAGCAGACATAAAAAAAACAGCATAATCGTTAGTATTGTTGCTGTTGCGATTAATATTAGTACTAGTATCCATACTAGTTTTAGCACAGGTAGTAGGATTAGTGTTAGTAGTAGTATTAGTATGAATAAGACGAGTACTACTATGAATACTAAGACTCGTATGATTAGAATTAGGATTAGTATTATCACTAGTACTAGTGGTGTTTGTAATACTAGATTCGTCGTAGTATTATTCCTCCTCAACTTCCTCATATTCGTCTTGCTCCTCCTCCTCCTCATCCTCGTCTTCCTCCTCCTCCTCCGCCTCATCCTCCTCCTCCTCCTCTTCATCCGCCTCTTCCTCCTCCTCCACCTCCTCCTCATCCTCGTTCCTCTCCCTGGAATCCTCATACTCATCCTCATCCTCCTCCTCCTCCTCCTCCTCTTCCTCCTCCTCCTCTTCTTCCTCCTCCTCCCTCCTCCTCCTCCTCCTCCTCCTCCTCCTCCTCCTCCTCATCATCATCATCATCATCCTGCTCATCCTCCTCCTGCTCCTCCTCCGCCTCCACCCCCGCCTCCGCCTCCGCATCCACCACTTCCTCCCCCTCCTCCTCCTCGCTCCTCTTCCTGGGATCCTCTTCCTGGACTCCTCCTCCTCCTCCTCCTCCTCCCGCCTCTTTCCTCCTCCTCCTCCTCCGCCTTCCTCCCCCTACTCCTCCTTCAACTCCTCCTCATGCTCCTCCTCCTTCATCCCTGTTCCGTATGAGTAACTCCGCCCCATCGCACCCCGAGACGTGTCGATAGGGCGGGCTGGGCGTTGCGCCTGAGACTTCTTCACCATGTATGACGCTTCAGCTGAAAGTTTGAAACACGTTCGTCGATGGAGGACGGGTCGTGCTCAGAATGTAGCTCTCGCCTTTGCGCCGCGCACATTCGTCTCTCAAGTCTGCAAGACGTTCACAGATGGAGGGCGGTCTCTGCTCAAAATGTGGCTCTCGCCTAAGCGCCGCGCACATACGGTTCCAGAGTTTCCAACAATGTAAAGGAGTATGATGGCTGGCATCCCAGAAATGGTGGCTTCGCAATGCAGGGCGGTCAGGACGCAATCAGTACGTTGATTCGCGGTGTTGAAGTCCCAGGAACGGTGTCCTGGCATGGTTCAAGATCGTCAGGACGCAACAAGAATTAAGGTTGATTCATGCCGTGAAGTCCCAGGAATGATGTTCTGGCACGCTTCAGGATGTTCAACAACACGGTTGTCTTCCAACAGGGCACTTCCCTCAGTGAAAATAAACCCTTGCAGGAACCTATGAAGAAGGAACTTGGAGGGAGGATGGATTGTAACATCGTTGATGCGTCTTGGGTCTACACTGGTCCTCCTCCACCTTCTCCCCCGCCTCCTCCATCTCCTCCCCCTCCGACTCCTCCTCCTCCTCCTCATCATCATCATCATCATCCTCCTCCTCCTCCCTCTCCCTCCTCCTCCCCCCTCTCCCTGTACAATTATCTGGACCCCGCTCCCCGCGCAAGCACCGCCCCCGGCGTGCTCCGCTTGCCCAGGAGAAGGGGTGCGGGGAGAGAGGTGCGGCGCCGACCCAAGAGATCCGTGCGGGCCTCCGACAGTTAATGCTTACGCCGTTCTTTACTCTTGAGTAAGAGGCCTCTCAGATGGGGTCTGAGTAGGAGGAGGAGGAGCAGGAGGAGGAGGAGGAGGAGGAGGAGGAAGTGGGGCTGGAGGATTGCGCCGCATCGCCGATGCATCGCCGATGCACCCACGACATCGGCGATGCATGGGCAACGTCGGCGTGGACAGTATCAGGATCCACGTCGAGCCACACTGCCGATGCAGCGGCGATGCGGCACGATCCCCAGACTCCATCTACTCGGACCCGATCTGGAAGGCCTGGATCAGTCCTGGAACATCACGCTGTTACCTGGGCCCCACTGCGGTATGAAGTTCCACATGGGCTGGAAGGTCTTGTACTCCCAGATGGCAGTGCCGTCCACGGCACTCAAGCCCCGCACATACGTGTTGCCTGGCGTGAGGGGATTGGTCTGGTTGCGGTACCTGTAGCAATACCGGTCTGTACAGCGGTCGGTTGCGACCACTACGATTCCGCCCTTGCAGGACAGAGATCCCTTGACGCCAGATATCTGGTTCGAGGCCCAAGTTGCCCACATCTCATCCCCGGTGTTCATGTCGATCGCGAACACGTAACCTTCGGTGGTGCTCCCGATCAAGACGCCAGCCAGTGTGGTGGTCTCCGCCTTCTGCTCCACACGCATGAAGCGATCCTGCATGGCGTGGAGATGCACCACACTCTTCTGCCCAGTCTTCGTCCACTGGATCACCGCTCTGCTGCCGTTGCCCTGAGCTTCGATGCCAGAAATGATCCCTTGGTCGCCTGCTCGGAAGAGCTCCTTACCGTCAACCCAGTAACTCGCGCCAGGCTTCACCTTGACGAGGTCGCCGATTAGGAAGCCCTTCGGCGGTGCACACAAGGGGCCTTCTACGAAGCCTTCTGCGAGGCCTCCGATCCCCTCTGCGAAACCCTCTGCCTTCTCGCAATGCTGCTCTCGCCCTCCCCCCCGACCCGCATCCGCTCAAGCCCGGTCCCCAGAGCCCCTCCTAGGGTCCATCGCGGCCCGTCTTCGGGCAACGTGCGTCCGTGGCCTTAATAGAGGCACCCACAAGAGGCTTCAAAATGAGCAAACATGTCGAAACCCTGCCGCCGTCTTCGTCGTCATCGTCGTCGTCGTCCTCGTCATCGTCGTCGTCCGCGTCGTCGTCATCGTCGTCGGGGTCGTCGTCGCCGTCGTGGTTCTCGTGTTCTTCGCGGTCGTCGTGGTCGTCGTGGTCGTGGTCGTCGTGGTCGTCGTCGTCGTCATCACAGTAGTCGTGGTCGTGCTCGCGGTTGTCGTCGTCGTGCCCATTGTGGTTGTCGTCGTGGTCGTCGTCGTCGTGGTGGTCATGAGTGATCTCGTCGTCGTCGTGGTTGTCGTCGCCGACGTGGTCGTTGTCCTTATCGCTACCGTGATCGTGGTCGTCGTCGTCGTGGTCGTGGTCGTGCTCGTGGCCGTCGTCGTGGTCGTGGTCGTGATCGTGGTCGTCGTCGTGGTCGTGGTTGTGGTCTTGGTCATGGTCGTGGCCGTGGTCGAGATCGTGAGCGTGGTCTTGGTCGTTGTCGTCGTGGTCGTCCTGGTCGACTTCGTCGTCATGGTCGTCGTGGTCGTCGTGGTCGTCGTGGACGTCGTGGTTGTCATCGTGGTCGTCGTGGTCGTCGTGGTCGTGGTTGTCGTGGTCGTCGGCGCGGTCGTGGTCGTCGTCGTCGTCGTGGTCGTCGTGGTCGTCGTGATCGTCGTGCTCGTCGTGGTTGTCTTGGTCGTCGTGGTCGTCGTGGTCGCCGTGGTTGTCGTGGTCGTCGTGGTCGTCGTGGTCGTCGTGGTCGTGGACATTGTGGTCGTCGTCGTCACGGTCGTGGTCGTGTGGTCGTCGTCGTCATGGAAGTCGTCTTGGTCGTCGTGGTCGTCGTGGTCGGCATTGCCGTCGTGGTCGTCGCGGTCGCCGTGGTCGTCTTGGTCGCCGCGGTCGACGTGGTCGGCGTGATCGTCGTGGTCGTTGTGGTCGTCCTCGTCATCCTCGTCGTCGTCGTGGTCATCGCCGTCGTCTTCGTCGTCGTCATGGTCGTCATGGTCATCGTCGCGGTCGTCGTCGTCGTCGTCGCAGTCGTTGTGGTTGTCGTGGTCGTCGTGGTCGTCGTCGTCGTCGTCGCAGTCGTTGTGGTCGTCGTGGTCGTGGTCGTCGTCGTAAAGGTCGGCATGGTTGTCGTGGTCGTCGTCGAGGTCGTGGTCGTCATGGTTATCGTCGTCGTCTTCGTAGTCGTCGTGGTCGTCGTCGTCGTGGTCGTGGTCGTCGTCGTCGTCGGTCGTTGCGGTCGCAGTGGTCGTCGCGATGGTCGTGGTCGTTGTCGTGGATGTCGTCGTGGTCGTCGTCGTCGTGGTGGTCGTCATGATCGTCGCGATCGTCGTGCTCGTCGTCGTACTCATGCTCGTCTTCGTCGTGGTCGTCATCGCCGTCGTCGTCGTGGAATTCTCGTGGTCGTCGTGGACGTCGTGGTCGTCGTGGTCGTTGTGGTCATCGTGATCGTCGTGGTCGTCGTCGTCGTGGTAGTCGTGGTCGCCCTGGTCGTCGTGGTCGCCGTGGTTGTCGTGGTCGTCGGCGCGGTCGTGGTCGTCGTCGTGGTCATAATCGTCATCGTCGACGTGGTCGTCGTGGTTGTTGTGGTCGTCGTGGTCGTCGTAGTCGTCGTCGTCGTGGTCGTCGTCGGCGTGGTCGCCGTGGCTGCCGTCGTCGTGGTCGTCGTGGTCGTCGTGGTCGTCGTCGTCGTCATGGTCGTCGTGGTGGTGGTGGTCGTCGCCGTCCTCGTCCTCGTCGTCGTCATCGTCGTCGTGGTCGTCGTAGTCGTCGTGGCCGTCGTCGTCGTTGTCGTCGTCGTGGTCGTCGCGGTCGTCGTCGCCATCATGATCGTCTTTTGTTTTTTCCAGCGCAACGCACCGCGGCCAAGCACGGTTAATGAATCATCCGGTCAGTTCGCGTCAGATCACAGAGGGTGATGCTCCCGAACGACGTTGCGTTGGGAAAGCTGGATGGTGCACTACCGTCGCTGCTGGCCGCCAGGTGGATCCAAAGATGACGTGGCATTGAAACAAGAGCCCAGGGAGAAGGAGGAGGAGGAGGAGCGAGGACAAGAGGCAGGCAATGAAAGCAGACATAGACGATGTGTGGGCACCCCCAGCGGTCCAAGCGACCAGCGACATGTAAAAGCCTCACGCGCACAACCAGCGGGCAGAAACCTACCACAATGTAGGTTATGGGCCATGCAGCTCCGCAGATGATGGGATTATGATTCCCACTCCTATCGCACCAGAGGGGAAGCCAGCAGAGGAGGGGAAGGGCGAGAGGGGGGGAAGAAAGATAGCCACCAGATCACAGCGCGAAGCTCCACGGGCAGTCGAAACGTGGGAGAAAGCAGAACAGAAAAGAAATGACACAGTTCCGAGGAGACGCCGCAAGCATGTAATGATATCAATACTGCTTAATATGAAAAACCATCGACGTGGTCGTCGTGGTCGTCGTGGTCGTCGTGGCCGGCGTGATCGTGGTCGTGGTCATGGTCATCGTCGTCGGGTCGTCGCCGTCGTCATTGACGTCGTGATGGTCGTGGTCTTCGTCGTCATCGTCGTCGTCGTGGTCGTTCCCGTCCTCGTGGTCGTCGTCGTCCCCGTCGTCGTCGTCGTGGCCAAGGTGGTAGTCATCGTCGTCGTCATGGTCGTCGCCGTCCATCGTCGTAGTGGTCGTCGTGGTCACCGTCGTCGCCGTCGTCGTGGTCGTCGTGGTCGTCGTGGTCGTCGTGGTCGTCGTGCTCGTCGTCGTCGTGGTCGTGGCGGTCGTCGTGGTCGTCGTGGTCGTCGTGGTCGTCGTGGTCGTCGTCGTGGTCGTGGTCCTCGTAATCCTCCTCGTCGTCGTCCTCGTCCTCGTCGCCCTCGTCGTCCTCGTCGTCGTCGTGGTCGGCGTAGACGTCGTGGTCGTCGTCGTCGGGGTCATCGTGCTTATCGTCGTCGTCGTGGTCGTTATGGTCGTCGTGGTCGTCGTGGTCGTCGTGGTCGTCGTGGTCGTGGTCGTCGTCGTCTCGCCGTCGTCGCTGTGGTCGTCATCCTCGTCATCGTCGTCTTCGTCGTGGTCGTCTGCGTCGTCGTCATTCTCGTGGTCGCCGTGGTCGTCGTCATCTTGGTCGTCGTGGTCGTCGTCGTGGTCGTGGCGGTCTTTGCTGTAGTCGTGGTTGTCGTGGTCGTCGTCTTCGACGTGGTAGTCGTCGTCGTGGCCGTCGTTGTCGTCAGCGTCTTCGTGGTCGTCGTCGTCGTGGTCCCTTTCATCGTAGGCGTCGTTGTCGGCCTCGTCGTCGTCGCCGTCGGCGTCGTCAGCGTCGTCATCCTCGTCGTCGTCGTCCTCGTCATCGTCGTCGGCGGCGGCGTCGTCGTCCTCGTCCTCGTCGTCATCGTCGACGTCCTCCTCGTCGTCGTCCTCGTCGTCGGAGTCCTCGTCGTCGTCATTGTCGTCGTGGTCGTCGTGGTCGTCGTGGTCGTCGTCGTCGTGGTCGTGGTGGTCGTGGTCGCCGTGGTCGTCGTGGTCGGCGTGGTCGTCGTCGTAGTCCTCCTCCTCGGCGTCGTCGTCGTGGCCGTCGTCGTCGTGGTCGTCGTCGTCGTCGTCTTCGTCGACGTCGTCGTTGTCGTGGCCGTCGTCGTCGTCCTCGTCGTCGTCCCTGTCGTTTTGGCCGTCGTGGTCGTCGTCGCCATCCTCTTCCTCCTTGTTATCGTCGCCGTCGTCGTCGCGGTCGTCGTAGTACTCGTCGTCGTAGTCGTCGTGCTCGTCATCGTCGTCGTCCTCGTCATTGTCGTCCTCGTCGTCGTCGTCGTGGTCGTCGTGGCTGTTGTCGTCGTGGTCGTTGTCTTCGTCGTGGTCGTCGTCCTCGTCACCGTCGTCGTCGTTCTCGTCGTCGCGGTCGTCGTGGTCGTCCTCGTTGTGGTTGTCATCCTCGCCGCCGTCGTCGTCGTCCTCGTCGCCGTCGTGGTCGTCGTCGTGGAGGTCGCCGTCGTCGTCGTGGAGGCCGTCGTCGTCGACGTGGAGGTCGCCGTCGTCGTCGTCGTCGTCGATGTGGTCGTGGTGGTCATCCTCGTCGCCGTCGGCCTCGTCGTCGTCATCGTCGTCGTCATCGTTGTGGTGGTCGTGGTAGTCCTCGTCGTCGTCGTCCTCGTCGAGATCGTCGTCGTTGTGGTCGTCGAGGATGCCGTCGTGGTCGTCGTGGTCATCGTGGTCGTCGTGGTCGTCGCCGTCATCGTCGTCGACCTGGTCCTCGTCATCGTCGTCCTCGTCGTCGTCGTCCTTGTCGTCGTCGTCGTCATCGTCCTTGTCGTCAGCGTCGTCCTCGTAGTCGTGGTCGTCGTCGTCGTCGTGGTCGTCGTCGTCATCGTCCTCGTCGTCGTCGTCGTGGTGGTCGTCGTTGTGCTCGTTCTCCTCTTCGTGGTCGTCGTGCTCGTCTTCGTGGTCGTCCTCGTCGTCGACGTCGTCGTCGTCGTGGTCGTCGTGGTCGTCGCCGTCATCGTCGTCGACCTGGTCCTCGTCCTCGTCGTCCTCGTCGTCGTCGTCGTGGTCGTCGTCGACGTCGTCGTCGTCCTCGTCGTCGCCATCGTAATCCTCGTGATCGTGGTCGTCCTCGTCGACGTCGCCTTCGCCGTCGTGGTCGTCGTCGTCGTCCTCGTCGTTGTCCTCGTCGTCGTCGTCGGCGTCCACATCGTCGTCCTCGTCGTCGTCGTCGATGTGGTCGTCGTCGTCGTCCTCGTCGTCACCGTCGTAGTCCTAGTCGTCGTTGTCGTCGTGGTCGTCGTCGTCGTTGTCCTCGTCGTCGCCGTCGTAGTCGTTGTGATCGTCGTCCTCGCTGTCGTCGTGGTAGTCGTCGTCGTGATCCTCGTCGTCGTCTTGGTCGTCATCGTTGTCGTCGTGGTCGTCGTGGTCGTGGTCGTCGTGGTCGCCGTGGTCGCCGTGGTCGTCGTGGTCGGCTCGTCGTCCTCCTCGTCGTCGTCGACATCGACGTGAAGGTCGCCGTCGTCGTCGTCCTCGTCGTCGTCGTCGATGTGGTCGTCATGGTCGTAGTGGTCTTGGTCGTCATCGTCCTCCTCGTCGTTGTCGTCGTCGTGGTCGTCGTCGTTGTCGTCGTCGTGGTCGTCGTCGTCGTCCTCCTCCTCATCGTTGTCCTCGTCGTCGTCGTCGTCGTGGTCGTCGTCACCGTCGTCGTGGTCGTCATTGTCGTCTTCGTCGTCGTCCTCGTCGTCGTCGTTGTCGTCGTGGTTGTCGTCGTGGTCGTCGTCCTTGTCGTCGGCGTCGTCCTCGTAGTCGTGGTCGTCGTCCTCTTCGTCGTCGCGGTCGTCGTCGTCGTCCTCCTCCTCGGCGTCGTCGTGGTCGTCGTCGTGGTCATCGTCATCGTCGTCGTCGTCATCATCGTCGTCGTCCACGCCCCTCCCCCAGCACATCCTTGGTACGCCCCACTGATGACACCAAAGGGTACCGATACCACTACTCCCCGGACCTGTCCCGGGCTGCGTTCTGCCCAGAATTTCGAAGCGAATCCAGCGGTGGCGACGAGGGCTTCCCAGGAGGACCAAGAAGGGGAAAACAAGGAAATGGTAGCGATATGGGTACCTGATCCACCGCTGACCCAGCATCCCTTTGGTGGAGCGATGAAATTTATACACATCCACTGCTCTTTGGCCAGGCCCATCCTGAACCCAGCAGCGATATATACGCCGCGCTCCTGGGCCCAGGAAGAGCACGGCCAGGGGGCAGTGGATAGGTAACTATAGACTTTGTCGCCCAAAACGGTGCGCCCCGTCGCGCAGTCCTGCGACGGCTGGCCGGTCTTGCCCGACGCGCCCCTGTCCCAGTCTGGCCGCACCAGCTCCTCCTCGTCCTCCGGGCCCGTGGCCGCTTTCGGGCGGCCGCGCACTCTGGGGGCCCGACGACGACGACGACGACGACGACGGCGGCGGCGACGACGACGACGACGCCGACGCCGCCGCCGGCGGCGGCGGCGGCCGCCGCTGGACGAGGATCAACTGAGCATTTTCTTAAGGTGGAGGGCTCAGGGTGACATCGGCATGGACTTTTGCACCTCGAAAACCAGTCCGCCTTGTGAACCGCCTTTTGCAGATTCAAGCCTCGAAAACCCATCGCATCCTCATCCTCCTCCTCCTCCCCCTCCCCCTCCCCCTCCCCCCCGCCTCCTCCTCCTCCTCCTCCTCTCCTCCTCCTCCTCCTCCTCCTCCTCCTCCTCCTCCTCCTTCTCCGCCTTTGCCCTCCACCCAAAGAAATGCTTGGATCAAGGATGGCGGGAGCGGGTCCAGCGTGCGGGATACGCTCATGCGCCTCGCGCTGCCGTTGCACAGGGAGGGCATGGACGCGAGCTGACCTGTCGGGCGCGGGGCCGCCGAAGGGCCGTCGAAGGGCCGCCGAAGGGCCGCCGAAGCGCCGCCGCAGGGCCGCCGAAGGGCCGCCGAAGGGCCGCCCAAGGGCCGCCGAAGGGACGCCGAAGGGCCGCCGAAGTGCCGCGCGGAGGGCGGCGGCGGCGGCGAGGACGGGGGCTCGAGAAATGAAACGCACGACCGGCCCCCCTCCCGCGGGGCCCCAAACCCGTGGGGGCGGCATGGGTCCGCCACCCAGGAATGGGAGGACATGAGGAGGGAGGACAGAGAAGAGAGACAGAGAGAGAGAGAGATAGGAGAGAGAGAGAGAGAGAACAAAAAAAGAGAGAGAGAGAGAGAGAGAGAGGGAGAGCGCGAGAGAAGAGAGGCACAGACACCTTTTACGTTGCAGCGTGGCAGAGGCAGTCCGCACGCGCGTCCAGGCAAGCCGGTCAACAGCACTGCGAATTGTCCCGAACGCACGAGGGGAGGAAAAGAATAGGGCCGGCCGCGGAAGGGGGAATTATTCACTGCGTGGAGCTCCCCATATGTGCATCTACTCGCATGGACCTGTCCACCGTGAATGTCTAGGCGCAAAAGCTTTCGAATATTAACGGGCTTCAGTTGTGACGGTGTGGACATCAATCTAACTGCGAATGAATTGGAGTGTGAATGAGCCTCAGTAGTACGAGCGCGTCTCTGTGCATGAGCCTGGGGCCTCCTGGGGCCTCCTGAAACCTACTGGGGCTTCCTGGGGTCTCCAGGAGCCTCTTGGGACCTCCTGGGACCTCCTAGGAAGGTTTCGTGCCCCAGGAGAGGCGCAATCTATAGCAACAGACGTACATAAAACATTGCGGATTAGAGCCACAGGAGAGGGGCAATCTATAGGAACACGCGTAAAACACCAAGGACTCGTGCCCCAGGAGAGGGCAAATATAGAGGAACATGAGTAAAACATTTAGGATTCTGTACACAGGAGAAGGACCATCTATAGAAACATACGTAGAACATCAAAGAATCGTGCTCCAGGTGAGGCCCAATCGATAGGAGCATACGTAAAACACATGGGATTGGAGCCACTCCTGTTGCCTTCTGAGGCCTCCTGCTCCTGGGGCCTCTCGGGGCCTCCTGTTGCCTTCCGAGGCCTCCTGGCGCTTCCTGTTGCCTCCTGGGGCCTCCTGTGGTTTCCTGAGGCCTTCTGGAGCTTCCTGGGGCCTCCTGGAGCCTCTTGGGACATCCTGTGGCCTCTTGAGTCTTTCTGTGGCCTCCTGATGCCTCCTGGGACCTCATGTGGTCTCCTGGGGCCTCCTGGAGCCTGTTGGAGCCTCCTGTGGCATCCTGAGAAGAATCTGCGCCCACGAGCCTGGCCACCAAAACAAGCAAACCGATCGAGACATCCTCAAAATCTGGCCCACCTGGGGGGTGAAAATGAGCGCCTCGCTCGAGACATCCTCCAAATCTGCTCCGAAAGCGAAGGATGTTGAGCCCAGAAACAAGCAAACCGCCTGAGACATCCCCACAAAATGGCCGCGAACGAGCCCGTGCAACCACCCCTGGCGGCTCCCCTTAGGGCCACGAGCCTGGCCACCAAAACAAGCAAACCGATCGAGACATCCTCAAAATCTGGCCCACCTGGGGGGTGAAAATGAGCGCCTCGCTCGAGACATCCTCCAAATCTGCTCCGAAAGCGAAGGATGTTGAGCCCAGAAACAAGCAAACCGCCTGAGACATCCCCACAAAATGGCCGCGAACGAACCCGTGCAATCACCCCTGGCGGCTCCCCTTAGGGGTGCTGAAACCAGCGCCCCGCCTGAGACATCCTCACAATCTGCTCTCCAAGCGAAGGATGTTGAGCCCGGAAACAGGCAAACCGCCTGAGACATCCCCACAAAATGGCCGCGAACGAACCCGTGCAATCACCCCTGGCGGCTCCCCTTAGGGGTGCTGAAACGAGCGCCCCGCCTGAGACATCCTCCAAATCTGATGTGTGTTGAGTAAGTCTGAGTATGAGTAGGTCTGAGTATGAGTATGCCTGAGTATGAGTAAGTCTGTGTATGAGTGAGTATGTGTATGAGTAAGCTGTGTATGAGTACGTCTGGGTGTGAGTAAGTCTGTGTATGAGTAAGTCTGTGTATGAGTATGTCTGAGTGTGAGTAAGTCTGAGTATGAGTAGGTCTGTCTGAGTATGAGTAAATCTGAGTATGAGTAAGTCTGTGTATGAGTTAGTCTGAGTATGAGCAAGTGTGAGTATGAGTAAGTCCGACAGGAGGGGAGGAGAAAAGAGGAGGAGGGAGGAGGAGGAGTAGGAGGCGTACAAGTAATAACAAGAACCCCATCTTAGGATATGGGGGAGAAAAAAAAAAAGCAAGCGCACTCACGCGGCGGGGCGCGGGGGGCGGGCGAGCAGGCGCAGCAGCCCCTAGCAACAGGCGCGGGACGGCATCACGAACGCACCCAGGGGTGGGCACAGCGGCTGCAGCGCAAGGTCGGAGACCAGCAAGTCGGAAAGGTGGAGGCCAGAGCAGCAGTGGCGACGGCGGTCCCAACAAGAGCGGGTGTGGCTGCTTGGCGGGCTGCGCAGGCGGGCTGCTGTGGCGGAGCGGGGGCGCGCGATGGCCCGCCGGGGTGAGCGGCGCAGCAGTAGCGAAGGCGGGGTGCGTTTGCAGCGCAAGCCGGGCGGGGGGGCCGGAGGAAATAGCGGGCGAAGAGGCCGAGCGTAGCCAGTACGGCCGGCGGGGAGCCGTGGGACACGGGCGGCCGCGGGGGCATCGCGTGTGAGCCACGCAAACAGGCCGCTGGCGGGCAGGGTGCGGGAGGCAGCATAGCCAAGCACAGGCCGGCGCACGCATCACAGCCGTGGGGGGGCGGCGCCCAACCGAAGTGGGGGCAGGGCGGAGGCTCCTGGCGAGGAGCTGCCGGGAGGCAAAAGCGGGAGGGCAGCGCAGGGGCGACGCCCCCCATTTCGAAAGAGGCACGAGCAACAGACATAGGCAAAGGCAAAGACACAAACAAAGACACAGTTTTGGCGGTCCCGGCCTCGCGCGCAGAGACGGGCCAGAGTAAGTCGAGCGAGCGGCACGGTGTAAGCAGCGAGCGCGGCCGTGCCCTCTGACGCCCACAGACATAGACACCGATACAGACAGGGGCAAGGACAAGCACAGAGACAAAGACAGAGACAGAGACCGTGACAGCCACAAACACAGACACAGACAGATAGAGAAAGGCAGACAGAAACGGATACAGAGGGAGGGACAAGCAGGGAAGGAGCTGGTGGAAGAGGAGCAGCAACACCTGGGAAGACGGTCCTCACCCCTCTTCGAACAACTGTTTCGGGCCTCCCTGGAGGCCCTCTTCGGTACGGCTGGGCCCGCCCCGAGACCACGGTCTGAACGCGCTCTGGGAGAGGCCTGGGGTAACCAGCCTCGAACTGATCCCTATCCCTAGGATCGACAAGACCAAGGCGATGACAATCTGAGTAAGGTGTTAAGAAACGTGTTTGTTTGTTGCGTCGGCGGCTAAGCAGAGTAACTGCGCTAGCGGAAGGCTAACTAAACGGGGGTACCACTGTAGCGAATTAGGCCACAATGCAAGGAGAAGGGGAAAGGACAGAAAAACACGGCCGAAGCAGGGGGGGAGAGGAGTGAGGCCGCTCAAGGGGACAGGTCACGCCCGGAGCGCGTGGCGCGGCCAGCCCCGCAGCGGGTCCGCGGCGGATGTTGCGCCAGGGGGCCTGCGGCGGCGGGGCGTAGTGTTGTGAGTGGAACGAGCCCAGTGGGACAAGGGTGCAAAACGGTCAATGTGGAGCCAACAGCTGGTGACAGCACGTCCCCCAGGGCGTGGCTTCCCAGCAAGATGCTGGGACGCAGGCGGCGGGCCGCAAGACCAAGCCTGGGGCGCCAGCGCGGCGGCGGCGAGCAGCCCGTCAGCACCATGGCGGCGCGCGGAGGGAGAGAGAGCAGGCGGGAGAGGCAGAAGTGAACAGGGAGGAAGACGCCCCGCCTGGGAAACCCACAGGCGGGGCGGCCAGGCGGCAGCAGCGGCGCCGAGTACCATCCGGCGCAGGAAGCAGCATGGGGGGCAGGCACCCTGCCAGCGCCCAGCAGGGGCAGCAGGAGGGCTCCCAGAGCCTGCGAAGACCCGCAGTCGGGGGTGCCAACCTTAGGGATAGGGATGTGTGTTTCAGACTGGTAATGGGGGCCGAATCGGCGGGAGGAGGCGGAAGAGGAGGAGGAGGGAGCAAAGGAGGGAGGGAAGAGACAGGGAGTTTGGCACACCCGTGCCAATGTAGAAAACCGACTCGGGTGAGCTGGCCGAGAGGCGCCTCGAAGTGGCAAGGACTGGGACGCAGAAGGACACACTCGTACTATGTGCCCTCCTTGGAGGCATGCGTCCGACCCGAACATACAGTACAAACATCTTGTAGCATATCGCTTTCCGAGCGTTATGGCCAGAATGTGCCCGCCATGGAGCCTACACTATAAGATTTCTCGGCGCGCGCGTCGCCCCTTGGGGACCGACGCACGCATCGTATTAGTATGTTGTGGTGACGCCGAAGGGCGGGAGGCAGAGACGAGAAACGGACAGAGCGAGGAGCCTCGGGGGGCGTAGGCCCACTTGATGACGCCGTTGGAGTCGAACTTCCGGATGGCGTCGTCGGATCCGATGTAGATATTCATCTCGTCGTCGAGGAGGGGGGCGCCGACCGGAATGGTGTTGTAGACTCCAGCCGGGTGGTGCCAGCCCCAAGACACGCTCTGGGTAAGGTCCTTAGCGCCGGCGTAGTTGCTCCCCTCGCGAGCGTTGGGCTCGGACCAGAAGAATGCGCCATCAACTGTCTTGACCTTCTCGAAACGGGAGTCCTGGTTCTGCGGCAACTCACGGGAGCCTGCTATACCATCTTGCTGGGTCTTGCGAATCGACGCACATCGACGATAATCGACGCTACATCGACGCTCATCGACGCTCATTCAACGATAAATCGGCACTGTCTCATCGATTACCAGACGCTAATCGACGCTAGTGGACTCTGAAGACTGACTGACGAGGGTACGCAAGGCTCCCATGATCCACTACCAAGCCAGGACGAAGATAAAATCGTATGAGAATAAACCGAGAATCTCTGAGATCCGGCGGCTCTGAAGCATGTCTCATGCGCTGCGGCCTTCTCAGAGCGCTCCAGAACGCTCTGAGAGCTTTCCGGAACGCTCTCGAAAGGATTCATCCTCGTCCTAGCCCCGTCCAAATCCTGGTATCGGGTGACGCCCGCCTTGTTCATCACTCCCAGGGTGGCCGCACTGTTGACCGAGCCCGCACCCGAGTCAGAGAACCGGGTCGTCAGGCCTGCCCCAGACCCTGCAACGGACTGCCCCTCCGCCCGCCCCACGGACTGGATCAAGGAGGCCTCCCTGCCCACGCCAGAGTACCTGGGAGACAACAAGAGACACAGCCGGACCCAGGCCAGAAAAACATCGTCCAAGAACATGAGAACTTCCGTCGGCCAGAAAACTAGGGCACCCTCCCCGAACTGGGCTCGATCGTATACCTCGGTCCGACTGTAGCCTTAGGTCAGGCGTGTCCCCCTACAGGCGGATTTGTCGAAAAATTCAAAGTACTCACAAAATATACCAAAAATATGCATAAATTGCCAAAAAAAATCGTCCCCAGACTATGCTTGAAGATTCCCCCTGCAGAGGGACAGGCCCGACTTAACTGTAGCCCAGCTCCCAGGCAGGGCGCGCTCTGCCCAGGATCCCGAGGCGGGTGCAGCCGAGGCTCGGGGAGGGCCCAGACGGCGAAGACCGTGAAAGATACTCGGCGTCGAACGTGCTTCTCTCCCCCGACTGCTTCGAGCAGCGTCGAGCGTCGAGCAGCGTCGAGCGTCGAACGTGCTTCTCTCCCCGGGCTGCCTCCGGACGTCAATCGCAGCAGCGGGCAGCAGCTGCAAGAAGACGAGGTGGACCCCGGCAGCAGCCATGGCCAGCGGCATGCTGTGGGGCCAAGTGAGTGTGCAAGTGAAGGGCGAGGACGAGTCAGGAATGTGGAAAGGATTTGAACAAAATTCTGCGATCCCGACAGCTGGAGATCCCCAGCCGCATCAGATATGCATCCCCTCACACCTATTCCGTCAGGAAGAATAGAAAAGAGAAGGGGATCCGTCTGTTTGGTGAGAGGGTTCCTCGTGGGGAACCGATTGTGAACCCCCCACCCTGAAAACAGGAGAAAGGAGAGGTAGTTACAGAAGGGGGCCCCGAGCTCTAATATCGAGGCTGCCCCATGAATGCCGCGCCATCCACACACCAAATTGGAAAGAAACACCCCGAGAAAAGAAGACGACGACGACGGGTCCTCCTCCTCCTCCTCACCCTCCTCCTTTTCCTCCCCCTCCTGCTCGTGCGCCTCCCTTTCCCCTCCTTGCAGACGACGACGAGCCGTACGCCCCCTGAAACGGAACAGGGGGGCATCTGAGGGCCTCCTTGCATTGGGGAGGCTCTGGGGGCGGTTTTTCTGAAGATGTCCCACGCGGGGGCGCCAGTTTGTCTGAGGGCCTCCTTTTGGAGGCTCCGGGGGCGGTTTTTCTGAGGAGGATGTCCCACGCGAAGGCGCCGGTTTGGAATTCGTCGCCGGATTCTCCGGATTCGCTGGATTTCCCGGACGTCGCCTGAATCGGAACAGGAGACCTCTGGGCATCCTTGGGCAAGCTCCGGGGGAAGTTTTTCTGAGAATGTCCCACGCGAGGACGCCAGTTTGGAATTCGTCGCCAGATTCGCCGGATTCGCCCGGGTTTCCCGGACGTCGCCTGAAACGGAACAGGGGGGCATCTGAGGGCCTCCTCGGGGAGGCTCTGGGGGCGGTTTTTCTGAGGATGTCCCACGCGGGGGCGCCGGTTTGGAATTCGTCGCCCGAGCCCCCGGATTCGCTGGATTTCCCAGAGACGTCGCCTGGGGTCACGGACCCTGGCCCACCTGGGATAGTCCCGTACTGTCCTCCATCCCCCCGTGGTGAGTCGTGCGTGGAATCGCAGATGGTTTGGCGCCAGGGGTCAGACCAGCAACACTGCGGAGCTTTCGGCAGTTGGCAAGCGCATGCGCTGGCCGCTAGAGGAAGCCCCCGACGGTGGTCATGTGCCCGTACACATTCGTTATGACTCGGAGCGCCCGGCGATAATTGCGCGGGAGCTGTTGGAGGCGAAGTCGAACGAAGAGCTGGCGGAGGCGGTGCAGGTACTCACCGCGCGAGTAAGCGAGAGGCGTACGATCACGTGGGAGCACGTGTACGGTCACACAGGAGCTCACGACAGTGAGTTGGCGGACAGAGCGGCGGACCTAGGGAGACGCGGGTACGCGTCAACCCAATCAGCTCGGTAATTGGCCTCCCCCTGCAGTGGCAGAGCTTCATTGGAAGGATATGGACTATTAGGAAAATGCAGCTCAAAAAAACTCAGCAAAGATCTGTACGGCCACACTACGCGATGCACTGTTGTCGGCTATGCGGCAGGGATGGCGAAGTGCCGATCGTGCCTTTTTTTCGTCAAGGAAGGCTGCCGCAAAGCGCACGAAACCAAATGCAGGGGGTGCGAAATGCTGAACCATACGCGTGTTAAGTGTGGACTGATGTACCCGCCGCCCCCTCCCGGGGAGGCAAAACCGAAACCACACGCAGTGGTGAAGATGAAAGCAGGCCCACCTGCCAAGGCCACCGCGGCCAAGCCTGCAGGTAAGGGGGGTGCACGCCAAGGCGAAGGCGGCGATCCGATCTGCTGGACTGGCCCGGCGACGCCTGGCAGGGGCCGGCTAAAAGGGCCCTCGTGGGGGTAGGGCGTGTCTTTTGGGGTGTGGGGAGGCGGGGGGGGGGGGGGGGGCAGCGGGCGGGCGCCAACCTAGCCTGTGTGGCACCGTGATTTCGGTGCTCCTGGCCTGCAGCTGACGGCAGCGTCCCTGCGGCGACTGCCACGAGACGATGCCGGCCCCGTGCCGCGCATCGGGGGCAGCCAGGGCAGGGTTCGCCCTGCCCCACGCTGTGCCAGCGCGAGCCCCGTGCTCGCCCATGGCCGCCCCCAAGTCCCACTGCAGGGGGGCTGTGCTTAGGTTGACGTCCCACCTGCCGCCCCCCCTACCTGCCCCTCCCTCCGTTTTGGGGTGCCCTCTCCCTCCCCCTCTCTTCCTCCGCTTGCACGCCGTTATTGTGTGTGTTCGTGCCGCAGCCCCCGCTCCCTGGACCTCCCGACTCTTAGACTCTCGAGCGCCGCCATGACAGCGGAAAAAAGAAAGGGAGGAAGGCCACCCCTCTCCCTCTCCCTCACCCCCTTTCTATCCTGTTTGCACTCACAGCGGATGGTGCTCGCCGCTCCGAACAGCTGCTCACGCCCCCTCGCCCGGCGGACCCGGCTCTCACCCGAAGGCTCCCTGCCGCCCTCGGCCTGCGGGGCCCCGGGTGGGTAGTGGTGGTAGTGGTGGTGGTGGTGGGGGCGAAAGGGGTGGTTGTTGGGGGGCGGGGGGGGGCCAGGGGCATTCATGGGGCGGGGAGGTGCGGGGAGCCATTGGGCCGCACCCTCCTTCGCGTCCAGCGTAATCCAGACTGGTGTTATCGGCCCAGCGAATGGCTGCTGCCTCAGAGCGCCGCGCGGAGACCGCCCGCCGACTGGCGACTCTTGAAGAGCGACAGACCCAGCAAGAGGGGCGTCTTGCTCGGCTGTCGCACCAGGTCAGTCAGGTGCTCAAGTCTACCAGCCTCGTTCTCGAGGAATTTCCCACCCTCGACCAGGCGTGGTAGGCTCATGGGGAGCAGCAACAGGACAAGGAGCTGCGGCAGGCCACGCCGGCGCCAGTGGGTCAGGACTTAGCGTCCAACTTGGGGCTGCAGTGGCCGCTGCCCGACAGCAGCGCGAACCAGCACGGGTCGCCGACGCCGTGTGTCCGGCTCCTCTCGGAGGCGTTGGCCAAAGAGGGGTTTGCGCGTGTTGTCTTTGAACAGCGTCACTGGGATAAGGCCTCCGGCGCGAGGGTGCGCATCCCCGTCACCTTCAAGGTAAGGTTGCAGTTCGGCGCGGCGTCGGTGGGGGCGCAGCAGGCGATCCAATCATTGGATCACCCCCTCCACCGGGCGTCGGGGCTGCCGGTGCTTAGCGTGGCACTGGCGGCCCCGCCAGCGGGGGGCGCCCAGACAGCGCACAGGCTGACGCACCCAGAGCGCACTGGGGAGGAGCGAGACTGCCAGTGGGCTCGCGGCAACCAGGGCACCAAGGGCAAGGCCAAGGGCGCCAAGGGCGTGATCCAGGGAAAGGGCCGCGGGAAGGGCGAGGGCGCCAGGGGCAAGGGCGCCAAGGGAGCCAAGGGAGCCGAGGCGAAGGCGGCGCCCGAGGCCGGGGCTGCCCATGCCGCGGTCGCCCCGGCTGCAGGCGTGGCGGGAGGCGGGTCGGCTGCGGGGGCGGCGGGAGCTGGTAGGGCGGCGCTGCCCGCGGCGCCGGCGCCTGCCGCTGGCGCAGGACCTGCGCGCTGAGTCTCGTCCTGGTGCTGGCACACGCTCGCGTGTTTCACATTATTCCAGAACGATTGGTGTGTATTGTGGGGGGGGGCGGGGCGGACAAAGGGGGGGTAGTGTCTATTCAAGTTGCACCGTAAATGAGCGAGGAGGAGAGGGAGAGACAAGGGGGGGAAAGTGTCGGGATTACATTTCGCGTGTTGGCTTCTTCTCCGCTCGGGGTGCCCCCCCCCCTCCCCTCTCCCCCATCCGTCCCTGCCCCCCCGCTCCACCTTCCCTCAGGGCCGCCTCTTCCTCCTCCCTCGCCGGCGCTCCTGCCTCGCCGTCGGTCGTCGCCCCCCCCCTCCTCCAAAGGATTTTTGAAAGGTCAGCCGGGCGTGTTGAGGGAGACTGAGGAAAGGGACGAGGAGGAGGAAAGAGGAAGGATATGGACAAGGAGAAGGAGAGAAGGAGAAGGAGAAGGAGAAGGACAGAAGGAGAAGGAGAAGGAGAAGGAACGAAGGAGAAGGAGAAGGAGAAGGAGAAGGAGAAGGAGAAGGAGAAGGAGAAGGAGAAGGAGAAGGAGAAGGAGAAGGAGAAGGAGAAGGAGAAGGAGAAGGAGAAGGAGAGAAGGTAAAGGAGAAGGAGAAGGAAAAGGAGAAGGAGAAGGAGAATCGGAAGGAAAGGAGAAGGGGAAGGGGAAGGAGAAGGAGAACGAGAATTAGAAGGAGAAGGAGAAGAACAAGCAGAGCAAGGAAGTAAAACGAGAAGGAGGAAGGAGAAGGAGAAAGAGAAGGACTTGTGGAGCTTGCAAGAGAAGGGTATGGATTCCGCATGAGGGAAAGGAGCAGGAAGGGAAAGATAAGGTGTTTTTGGAAAAATATGGCGCTCCCCACATCCTGATTCAGGTCATTGTTTTCGTTGGGACACCCCCGCGTAACAACAATAACACCCTCACATCATCATCATCATCATCATCATCATCATCATCATCATCATCATCATCAGCAGCAGCAGCATCATCATCATCAGCATCATCATCAGCATCATCATCAGCATCAGCATCAGCATCAGCATCAGCAGCATCATCATCATCACCATCATCATCATCATCGCCATCATCGTCACACCGTCGTCATCCATTGACACTTCAAGTTTCCCGTCATGGCCATCGGTCGCCATCATCACCACCACACAGTGTGGTATCATCACCACCACACTTTGATCATCACGGCACTATGCTTTCACACTCATTCACACACCCTCACATTCATAATCAAGAACTCTCAAGCGGGAACCTCGTCCGTGAAGTAATCGCGAAGAAATATCAAGCGGTAGACCCCTCCTGTGGGGCCCGCATTCATGTTGGCAATCCGAACGAATAATCGGATACGTTTCACTATCGTCAATTTGGAACCCCTAAAATTTGAGTGCGGAGGAAGTCTCAGGCGGGGGTCCCGTCTGGGAATGAATTGCCAAGATATCTCAAGCGGAAGCCCCCTCCCTATGGGGCCCGCAGCTCACGCTACTAATACGACAGGGTGTTAGGAAACATGTACCTGTCGTCACGTTGGGCCTCTCCCACGCTTGAACGTGGAGGAAATCT